GAAAAATAATTAAAAATATAAGATAAATATAAATTTTAATAATTAAAATATGTAATTAAATATTTAATATTTGTGTATCACATTTTTTAAGGAATCTCCTTGTTATATATTTATATTTGTTAAATTATTGATTTCAATTATAATATCTAATATCTATAATAATATATAAAGAAGATGTCCACTTTTCTAACATAATTATATTTTTATATTATATTTTTTTCACCAATATATAATTATGGATAAAATTAGAAAAATTATATATAAAAATAAACAATCAATTTCTATAAAAATAATAACTATCTATTTGCTTTTTAATGAAAAAACTTTTTTCACAAAAATCGAAAATATCTTTTGTCATACAAGTTATTAATAAAGAAGATATTATTTTTTGATATAGACTTTTTCATTATCTTTTATTTATTTTATATTTGTTCTACTTTAACAATATTAGTTTTCAGACCTCAATTTTTTAAATAATCATTGATTATATTTTATTTTTATTTTAAATAGAGAGACAGAATTGTTGTTTTTCCATAGTACTAATAATACTGATAATATTATCAATAGTTAATAATATTATTCCCATTAAGTTATTGATTATATCATTTATATTAATAATTTATATTTTTTAGACTCGTTAGTAATAAACACATGTAATTTTTTTTTATTAAAAATATATATATTGCAATTTTCATTTATATATTTAAAATAATTATTAATTATTATTACTATTAAAGGAGACTAAAACTAACTTCAAGCGTGTGGTTCAGCGGTAGGAGTTCGAATCCTGCCTTGTATATACTTCCGCATTAAATTTTGGGGCCAGCTATCCCACCCTTTGATGTGCAGTCTCGCTCGGTGAGATTAATCACCACTATCTGCCCTATACTACATGGACATAAAAAAAAACTAAAACTCAATTGAAATTTGAGAGTTAGGGACAAAAGAATGCACAAGTGTGACGACGAACTTAAGGCAAAAGAAAAAGTTGGGAAATTTATTTTCCTTTTGTCTTCCGCTCTCACCTCAACCCAAACCACTTCGGTGACCCTCGCTGTCCGTACAACAGTTTCACTCTTCGTTCTCGGAAAACCCTAGCTTGGCCCAGGCCTCAATCGGTAATTTTAGGTTTTTATTCTTCCTTCAAATTTCAAATTGTTTCATTTGCTCTCACTGTGGGTTTCCAAATTTTGAGTATGGTATTTTCTGCTTTAAATATCGAAACTAGCCCCCTGTTTCAATTGGGAAATTATGAACAAATTTTGTTGGGAATGCCCTTTGCATGTCATCTAAGAGAGGACCAGGTCTCGAGCTTCATGTGCGTTTCTGCTTTCCAATGAACAACTAATCAGCGTTTATAATGTTTCCTGCACATGTCTATTCCAATTTCAATCGTTGTTTTTAAGTTCTAGGTGTTTATTGTTTTGTCTTCCATTAAGTGTTCCACAATATTTTGGGTGGGAAGGGGTGATTTTAACATGTGATGATGGATATTAGTGCTCTCAGAGACTTAGATATATGATGTATTCTAATCTTGCTCATAGTACTGTGACTGTTAGTAACACGACTAGTTATCCGCCAGATAGATAGATCGTTCCGACAACGCTAGCTAACTAAGTTTGAGTTATGTCTTTTTCATAATTTATAGTAATTGAAATTACTTATGTATAATATGTCATATATAATTATAATGTCATATGATCAGATTGACCATTTGCCCAACTAGTTGAACTAATCTAGCCATCAGTTGAAACAGGGAGCTAACAAAAAATGGCAAATGCACCTGCACAAATTCCTACAAGTTTTGGCCATGAGTTGAGGGCTTGTCTTCGTTGCCGCCTTGTCAAAACCTATGATCAGGTCTTAGTATACACTTCAACATTTTTCATTATTCTTTTTGTTTTATTTTTGTTGTTATTTGTTTACGTTTTCTGGTTTTGTTTTTCACAGTTCAGAGAGTCGGGCTGTGAGAATTGCCAATTCTTTAAGATGGAAGAAGATCACGAGCGTGTTGTTGATTGCACTACTCCCAATTTTAATGGGTTTGTTGATGTCAATTCCTTTTCATCAAAATCCCCTTCACCTTTGAATCTCTCAATACTCATTTTGTTTTTCTTCTTTCCTTTGATTTTTCCACAGGATCATTTCAGTTATGGATCCAACTCGTAGTTGGGCTGCCCGTTGGTTGCGCATTGGTAGGTTCACTTATCTCCTGTTACACTCATTATAATTTTTTCCTTTCCTTGGCTTCCAATTTTCTCTTTTTTACAATATTCTGATGACAGTATTACACTGGAATATGCAACATTATCATGACACTTTTTTATTAAGTTTGCCATCAAATCTCCTGTTACACTCATTATAATTTTTTCCTTTCCTTGGCTTCCAATTTTCTCGTTTTTACAATATTCTGACAGTATTACACTGGAATATTCAACATTATCATGACACTTTTTTATTAAGTTTGCCATCTAATTTTCATAATAAAATTTCTATTTAAAATAATTAGCAATAGGTGGATAAATCTAATATACAATGATTGTTTGTCTGGAAAGAAGCTCCCAAAATATCTACCCGAGACTTTGAAGTTCAAAATACTGTATTAAAATACTTCTAAAATTAAAATAAGAAAAGCTTTTTTTCTGCTGTAATTAGCTTTATTTTATCTTTAAATATTTGTAATTTGTGAAAAACTAGATGTCTAAATTTTTAAGGATAAAATTTGAGTAACCTGTTCAGATTTCTAATATATCACTGACAGTCTTTATAACTTGCAGCAGGCTGACAAGATTTGGATAGATAATTTGAGAACTCATGAAACAAGGAAAACTTGAATTTAAATGAAATGATATATTATAATGGAAATTGATTTGAATGGTGTCCTCCACCTAGCTGTTTGCTTGCCACTACTTTTGTTGCGTATTTAATTTTATACTCAAAACATTGGATCATGACATAAACCATAAATATTAAAGGAAAAAAGAAAAGGCCATAAAGATTAATCCATGCACTTATTTCATTATTTCAATCAATTTAGTCCATTGAATCAGCCAATTTATTTGCCAGAAAAGTGACAACAATTTGTGAAAAGAAAAAAAAAAAAAAAAAGAGGATAATTTTGTGTCTAGATTTGCTGACTTTGTATCTAGATTGAAATCTTTTATCGCAGTTGAGTTGTAAAATTTGGGTTCTCTTTAATATGCTGCAGGTAAGTTTGTTCCTGGTGTATATACTCTTGCTGTCTCGGAGGCTCTTCCAGAAGAGATGCAGGTTTGTAATTTTCTATTAATGCAATGTGGATTTCATAATATATTACTTGTGATAGATTTCACAATATATTACTATGTTGTTAAAGAGTGATTCATAGCTATTTGTTTTCTAGCACAGGATTTGACAATTGTCTAATAATCACTTGGTCAATACATCTAGCCACAGTATTTGATTGGCCACTAGACTTTGCTCCTCTATTAAGGCCAAGATTGTCAAAATCCAGTTTTAATGTTGGAACAGAGAGAGGGTGTAGAATTGTAGGATCGTAACATGGAGTGTAAGTTCCAACTTCCAATTATGTAAAAATATATTTACATACCCACACAAACACAAATAATACAACAACAATACCAAAAGCCTTTCTTTCATTTGGTGAGGTTGACTACATGAATCATGCAATGTCATTGGACTTGGTTAAAGACCAAATCCTCAGAGTTATTACTCACCATGAAATCTCTTTTGACAACTTCCTCCAATGTTCTTTTTGGTCTCCTTCTCCCCCTTCTCACTAGGCTATAAATGTTTGTTGTGCTTCCTCCAATGTTCTTCTTAGTCTCCCTCTCCTCCTTTTCACAATATTATAAATGTTTGTTGTGACTTAGAGGTTGTTCTTTTTATTATTTTTAACAACAATAAAAAAGTAGCCTCTAAATCACAACTAACATTTAATTTAACTTGAATTGAAGATTCATGTCTTTATAGAACTCACAAGTCACATAAATTTGACAACACAAATAATACACAAAACTAAAGCATACAACAAAGAGTCACATCAATGACATCATGCAGCAACAACCCAGAACCAAAGAGAAGCAGAAAGGATCAGGAGAACAGAGCTCGGGACAATAGTGAATGGAGAGGGTCCATTCAGTTAGGGTAGAGATGGGGAACCATAAGGGAAGAGCGGAGATTGATAGA